TCTAGTCCACTGAGCAGTGGTGGGGACCAAGTGAGAGCCAGAGCTGATAGGTGTAGAGCCTGGCCTCATAATACACAGTCAGCCGACTTGACGTTGAAAAAGAGCTTACTATCCTCCCTGGTCCACAGTGCAATGGTGTCTTGCACAGGATACAGCAACACCCAGCGGTGAGAACCCCTCACTCAACGCACACCTCCCAGGTGATGCCTTCCTGTCTTAGTACAAAATGCCACTCCCCACTTGCTATCTTTTGCTTACTTATCTTGCTAACTTCCTCTTTTTCCCCTGTTTTATGGTTTTTCATTCTTGATATCTCTCTAGCACACTAGAGATTTTTGTATTTCATGTTTTTATGGTATATCCCTGTCCTCTAAAATGAGAATACTGTGAAAGCAGGCATTTTCTCTTTTGCCTGTTTTGTCTACTAGCTCCCAGAACTGTACCCGCAGGTAACTGACACTTGATGTGAATGAGAAGAGGGGCGGAAAGTACAGGCTGGGTGGTGGAAGTGAGCCAAGGAAGCTTCCTGAAGGAAGTGGGGGATGCTGAGCCAGCTGTTAGAAATGAAGTGCACCTTCTGGCACAGAGCAGGGAAAGGAGAACACTTGTAGGGCCCATAAGTAGTAGAGTGTTGTGGCCTGTGGCAGGGGGTGGGAGTGCTTGTGAGGAGGGCTGTGTGAGGTGAGGATACATGGGAAGGCCACAGGCAGAGGGACCAGGACCTGGCCCATGCCATCTGGGGGCTGAGGATCAGGTGGGCCAGAGTGGCTGGGCACAGAAAAAAGACCTAAAGGCTGGGCCAGCAATGAGGATCACTTAGTTTGAAAGCAAACAAGATAATGACGTTTTGAAAAGAGCTGTACTTCATTGAGTACTTCCTGTCTGTGCTAACTTCACTGACATTCACATCCAGCCACTCCACCAGGATGCATGGAAACAGGGCCAGAAATGTGTGAATATTACACAAACTAGCCAGTCTGGCTTATTAGAAAAGAATCTTGTTCTTTTATTTGTGGGCTCAGCCATAGCACCTAAGTGATCATGGCTTGAAAACCAAGGGTCCCTGCCCTACTCCTCTCTACCAACCAGAGCAAGCTCATCTCTTCCTTCCTGCCCAGTGCTCTGTCCTGGTCCTTTCCTGAAGAACACAGGTTAATAAAGCATGAGAGACCCTGGGGCATAGGACTGTGATAGTGGGACAAGAAAACAACAAGAGAGAGAAACAAAGAGACTAAAGGAGGGGGAGGGAGACATTGTTCTCAGTTGCTGATAAGAAGCATAGGTTAATAAGGCATGAAGGACCCCAAAATTATGAGGGGAGGGGAGGAGGAAGCAGCCACTGCTCTGAGTAGCTGATATGAAGCTTAATAGCTGATGTCCCAAGAAAGGGACAGTCAGCCTGTTAAGGAAAGAGATAGCCACCAACGTCAAAGCACCAATCAACAGAAATAGGGTGAATGGGACCACACTGGGGGAAATGTGTTCATTTCTCACTGAAGACAAAGGCCATAGTTATTTGAAACTGGTCAGAGAAGGCTTGGGATTAGGTGGTAGAGGACTTCCAGAAAGCAAATGGGAGATGTTAAGTGGTCCTTGGGTAGGAATTAAAGTGCGGAGCAATGCAGAAATGAGGACCTCTGCCATTAATGGCAGAATGGACTCTTCAGCCCCTGAAAATGCTTCCTACTCACTTTCTGGGGCCTCACAGCCTGGATTCTACCTCAACCTCAGTTACAATGAGTTGAATTTTTTTTTTTTTTTACTGGGATCAAACTCAGGACTTTGCGTTTGTGAGGCAGGTGTGGCGCCATTAAGCTAAATCCCTGGCCCAGAATGAGTTCAATTTTAATTGAAGGAATGGACCAACAGACTCTCCTCTTCCTGTCACAGCCAAGGAGAGTTCCTCTGTATGGACTGTACCTGACCACAGGGGATAGAATAGGTACACATGCCCACAGGTAGAAATACAAATGCATGCTGGGCACATCCTTGCAATCATTGCTAATGAACATACTGGCCAAAGACCAAATAGAACTGGGGTAACAGAAAACCCAGGCCCTGGCACTGCCTACCACACCCCCAGAGTTCTCCAAGGGCAGCTGATCCTCATATACCCCACTCCTACCTTTGCTAAAAAACCACTTTCCTAAATTCACTCCAGAGCATGGTATACTTTTGTCATCAAGCTCAGAACACTCCTGTCTTTCTTGAGGACTTCAGGCCATTTCCATCTCTTCATCGACCCTATTATCATCTTCTGTTCCAAATCCCTGGCCCAAACGTTGCTCAGCCAACTTAGTTCTAACAGTTCTCTTGTCTCCTAAGCCTGAGCCCCAAGATGCACATGGCATTGTTCAACCTCTAGTCCAAATCCAACATCCCATCTCATATCCCCTAGGTCACATCCCACTTAGAAGTAAACTAAGTGGGAATTCTCAGTAAGTGAAAACTGAAAGATTCACCCTGTGACTACCTTCTCTATACCCAGCCTAGCTGGTGCATGTAGGCATTTTGGTAAACAAACAAAACCCCCCAAACACACAACACAGCATATTTCAAAATTTATTGAGGTGGTGCAGGGTACAGAAAACTTCACCAGGATCTCTTAGGTTTAAAAGTTACACCAGGAGTAGGCGAGGCTGGAGGTGGCCAGTTGAAGGAAGACTGGCCTTCCCATCTATGATACTCTGTGGCTCTGCTGGGATGAGGTAGAACCAGCTGGAAGGTCTCCACTTCTGGACCCTAAGTCCCCAGAGTCCAGGGCTTCCCCTCTGCTTACTCATGCAGAGTAGAAAGGTGCTCTGTGTAGTGCTGAGGCCATTGCACTAAGGTCTGGAATACGCTGTGTGACAATGCCACTCACTACTCTGCTATGCCAGTGTCCAAAATCAACACCATAACCAACTAAGGAAGAAAGCTGGATGAAGCTTACGCCTGGCTGGGGATTTCCACCTCAGAAACAGAGGCTGTCTTGTCCTCTTGGCAGTAACTCACCATGAAGAGATCCCTTCAGGGAAGCAGGAACCCCATTTGTCATCCTGACATGGTCAGTGCCTTTATCCCAGGGCTTTCCTTCAGATCCAGATCCAGGCAGCATCCCTAGAGTGATGAGGAGGTCACAGAGTGAAGGTTACCATAAGTACTCGGTCTCCAATGTTACCTCACCATTCTTTGAGCCTCCACTGATGAGAACGCCCCCAAGAAATCACATCTGAGTTGCCAGGTGTTCTTCACACCAAACTTACCTTAAAAAGGAATCTCAATGCACAGAGAAAGCAGTTAAAATGGCAACAGTCTTAAACTGTTTACAGCAGGGCCGTAATTTGTATGTCTCACTACTTCTGCAGGCTCTGAACCAGTAGCTGTACGAGCCAGTGGGAACCTATTAAACAGCCGGGTGCACACTATAGTCCCAGCACTGGAGAGGCTGAGGTGGGACAATTGCTGAAGTGTAGTTTGAGACCAGCCGGGAAATGAAGCAAGACCCCCACCTCAAAAAAATAAATACAGAAACAAATAAAAACTCTGAAACAGCTCCTTACAAAATAACTGAGCAGATCTGTAATTGGCTGAGAGACACCGCAAGAGTTCCTCTTACAGCTCCTACCACGGAGGTCCCAAAGGGGCAACCCAGCTGCTACCCTTTCAGGCTGCCATGACTGGCCTGCCCATCTGTCTACCCAGCAGGACTGAGAACTCTTGCTCACCTCAATCTCAAAGTCCTCCACACGTCCCCCCACCCCTCAGAATACCTATCATATCATACTTCTTCCAAGGCCTACCCAAACCCACCACTTCCAAAAAGGCTACTTCTCTTTGAAAATCCTGTGATAATGCCTGTGTATCACCCAACATCTCACCTAAGCACAAGACATAATTCATCCTGGCTCCTTCCACCAATGAAATGTGTCTAAAAACCTTGACATGAACATAGTCTGGTCTCTGAGAAGGAGAGGCAAAGCTGAGAGAGGCCAAAACAAAATGTCTCCCATCACTGACCCTCACACAGCAGCCCCAAGGCTCCTGAAACTGGAATGTGTTGGCAGGAAAGAAGTGTGTGAAAGCGCCAGCATTTGCAAGGGACAGGTTGGACCCTCCAAACACGGGAAACGGCTTTCAGCAGTTCCTCTCCCTGCTTTATTGATGACCAGGGCACAGGCAGCCCGTGATCACTTTTGAATGCAGGTGCACACATCAAAAAGTGGCCCTGGAAGAGCTGCAGGTGCCAGTGGCCTGTGGAATGGGCTGAGTCCATGAAAACAGCCCAGCCAGGCACAGGACCCTGTGGCAAAATCCCCAAAGAACCTCTCTGCCACAGGGAATCAAAAAGAAGTCAACTTGGGCAGAAACCCTGGAAAAATATTTATCGCTTTATTATTCAAATCAAGAAAATTGGATTGAGCTAGTCCCTGACTGAGATGGTGGCAGGAGCTTCTCAAGCCCAGATCCACCTGTTTTGCATTACAACATGCTGCTGTTTACAGCCAGGCAAGGAGGGCAGACAACTGGGAGACTTTTATTGTCCAAGTGAGATTCTGGAGGATTTAATTTTACAGTAGCCACTAAAAGCAAGTGTGATGGTTGGGATCCAAAATGTCCCCCAAAAGGCTCACTGTGTTGCAGGCTTGGTTGCCAGCTGATGGGCTTTTGGGAAGGGACTGGGTCACCATCAAATGGATTAATCCACTAATGAATTAATGAGCTGAATGGGTTAGTTAGGAGGTAGGGCTAACTGGATGAAATAGGTCGCTGTGGGTATAGCACCTAAAGGTAGACTTTGTGCCCTACCCCCTTTTCCCTCAAGAGCTCACTCTTAGAGCTCCTCCCACTGAGGTCCCAAAGGACCACCCCAACTGCCATCCTTCTTTGCTGTCATTCCTGGCCTGCCCATTTGTGAAGACTGGGAGTTCTTGCTCACCTCAATCTCAAAGTCCTCCACATGGCTTTTTCTTTCTTTTCTGCTTCTTGGTTGTGATGAGGTAAGCAGCTTTCCTCCACCAGGCCTTCTGCCATGACATTTCTGCCTCACCATAGCCCTAAAAGCAATGGAACCAGCAGACCATGGATTGAAACCTCTGAAACCCTGAGCCCCCACCACAAAAAAAACCTTTTAAGTAGTTTCCTCAGGTATCCTGTCACAAAAACAAAAAGCTGACCAACGTAACATGTGAAAGGTCAGATGTGATCTCGGCTGGCTGGGTAGGCAGCAGATCTGTCACCCTCATCTCACCTCTCAACTTTCCTACGTTGTCACTTAAAGCCCCTGGGAACATGCACAGGGCTATATTAGATGCAAGGGACCAATAGTCCAGAGATCTTACCTCAATGACACTTGGGTATAAGGTGGTCCTGACATGACAACTCCCAAGACACCTGCAAGAGACAGGAAGCACTGGTGAGCATCCATCAGCATGGGCATGAAAGCCACCAGGAAAAGAATTAACACAGTCATTACCAGAGAGTAGGCATTCCAAACATGATGGCTGTTGCTTCCTAAGCAAACACAATATTTCTTTATGAAAACAAGAGTTAACTAAAGAGAGATGGCCCATGGCAGGGTAGCTAATACTGATTAATACAGAACCACAGATTGGCTGAATGGCAGTGACTCTGCTGGCTGTCAAGGGGAATTTAAGCAACACATATGGCCTAGTTCCCAAAAGCAAGGGACAGGAACTGAAAGTTCCAACAATGACAGTAACGCACACATAGCAGCCCCAAACTGTGTAATGAGAAGCAAGAGTGTGGGAAAGCTCCTAGAACTGGAAGGCAAGCATACCCTCCAAACATAGGATAATTCTTCCCATTTTTCCTCTGCCTGCACTACCAATGACCAGGGGACGGGCACCCCCTGATCACTTACGAATGCAGGGGTAGAAAAGAACAGTGGGCTTGCTGTAAAAGGAGGCCAATGTTAGAAGCTTTGAGCAGCCAGCCCAATTAAACACAAGGACCCAATAACTATTTCTAACCCTACAAAAATTCCTTCAACATGGCCATACAAGGGAGGCAAAAGAAAGATACCTCTAAAGAAAACTGATGGAAAGCTGGGCATGCTCCTGCTTATAATCCCAGTACTTGGGAGGCTGAGGCAGGAGTACTGCCATGGGTTGGAGGCCAGCCTGGGCTACCTAGTGAATTTAAGGCCGGCCTGAACTACATAGAAAAACCCTGTCTCCAATAAACCAAAAAAAGAAAGAAAGCAAGCTAGTTAGCTGATAGGAGTTCTTGCATGTGGAAGACAGGGAATTGTGACGCAAAGAAAAACTGTCTCATCATATCTTTGCTTTCTAGTGGATGAAAGGATGAAAAAAAGGTTCCAAAAGTAGGAAGTGAAAACCAAGTGACTAAGACCTGGGTATAGGTGAGAAATCCTTCCTGCTTTTGACTCAGGCATTCTGTTGCCAACACACGCAGGAAAGGAAGGGATTCCTATAGATTCCAGAACCAAACCTGGCCACCAAAGGAAACCACATGTATCTCAAAGCCCCCAGGGAGGGTAAACCAGGGGCCAGGATGATGGCGCCTTCATCTCACTTCCATCTGCTTTCTGGACCACATCACACCTAGGAAATCTGAAGAAGTCCCTAACCTCACTCAGGAGCACCATGGCCCGTTTACGTCAAGTTGTCACCTCTGTTATAAGAAGTCTAGGATAAGCCACCAAAATGTCACCTGGTCAAACCCATCGTGGTATTACATGGAGTTTCTGGCACAGTAGCTAGGTGCTTCACAAATGTGAGCTGCTTCAGCCCCGCCCCCTCCAACAGAGATCACAGGAAGAATGACCACATAAATATGCACAAATTTCATTCATCCCATAAATACTGATTATCTACACATAACCGGGCACTATGGTTGAAAACAAGAAAAGCAGTCAGCTCTCCGATCTCAAGAGCTTTGCAGCGTCGCTATTTAACAGGAAGTACATCTCAGGAGCCTGAGGGGACTCAGCTAGGATCTGACCTCAGATCTTTCTGGCCCCCAAATCCAGGTCCCCTGTGCTACACCAGACTTCAGGCTGCACGGGAACTTTGCCACACAGATCTCAGAACCGATTTGGGCTCATCCACCACCGCCTCTGTGGGTGCCCACTGAATCAGGATCCAGAAGGCCCTGTGTCATCAAGGTGCTCAGCGTAGCTGCACTTACCGGGACATCCTGTCCCTGGAGCACCGTGGGCGGGGACGCTGGCTGTTGCAGAACCAGCTCCGCCAGCCACCGTATAGTTTCCATCCTCCTCCAGGAGGCCGCGCAAACTGAAGGCCTAAGCAGGGGAAAGAAGAGGAAGGGGCTTCAGTGCAAGCAGGGACAGTCTGGACTCTAAATTCTACGGCCCTGGGTATATCCTCAATCAAAACCTCGGCCAGACTGCGCAAAGAGGAAGTTTAAGCCCTGTCTTTGGAAGGCTTTTGGTGAAAATCTGTCAATTAGTCCTAGGACACAGCACAACACTGACCCCGTGTAGACAAGCGACAAGTCAATCCTTTGCTTCGACCGCCACAAGTCCGAGGGCGGGACGAAGGTGTGAGAGACCACGGGGCGTGAGGTCCCCGACCAAGTGGGGTGTCCTTCCCGGGTGGCAAAAAGGCGCCTGACACCGCTCTGGGACGGTCAGACCGGAGCGGCCAACAACCGGGACGCGAGAGCCGCTGTAGGTCGAGGTCCCAGGGCGCAGATGCTTGTCTCCTCTGCTTGAGGGAGACGCGGCGCCATCCTTGGGAGCCGCGCGCTGAGGACGCCCCGGATGACTTAGCCGGAGGTCCGGAAGGGAGGCAGCAGGGTACACAGTGCACAACACGGGTACAGGCTGCAGCACAGGACAAGGAGGGCGGACCGGCACTCGCTCAGCGATCCCTGCGGAGCTGCGGCCTTGCGCAGGCTGCAGCCTAGAGCGGCGCCTCTCGGCCAGGCCAGGCCTGTACGAGTGGCTCCGCAGCACCCCCTGGGGGAGAGGAGCTGAAATTCTAACCCTCCACTTTGAGCTCTCCATTCAGGCTTGCCTCCAACCAAGTATTCTTTCCGCTCGTCATTGCACCTGGCCACCCACGTATCCATGCATTCAGTTATTCAGAAACATTTATGGAGCACAACTTTCTCATTCCGAAATTATTCTTACTTCCTATTGGATCATCTCTGTGTCCACCATCCAAACATCCACCCACCAACCCATCCCTTCATCTTTTCATCAATCTATTCGTTAAGATTTCCATACATCCAGAAAATTTACTGAGCAACTACCTCACATCAAGGACTGAATTAAATGTTGGAAATGTAGTGAAGACAGACATGAGTTCCAACTTTATGTTGGTTATATTTTAATATCATTCTGTGCAATAATTAAAATTATAACTGAAAAAAAAGTGTAGTAAATTTTTTTTGGCCTCGCAAATGCAAGGTCCTGAGGTTGATCTCCGGTACCACAAAAACAAACAAAACTTGTGCTAAAATAATAGCTGAGCATGGTGGTGCACATTTTTAATCTCAGCACTGTAGGAGGCTGAGGCAAAAAGATCACAAGTTTGAGCCAGCCTGGGCAACTTAGTGAGATCCTGTCTTGGAACTAAAAAGTTTTAAAAGGGCTGGGGATGTAGGTTAGTGCAAATACTCTAGGTTCAGTCCCCAGTGTTGCCAAAGAACAAAACCATAAGTGTTACAAAGAAATGGGCAGTGGTGACCTAATTAGCCAGAGTGGATATGAGGGGCTTCTTTGAAAGAAAAGGCATTTAATCTAAAGTTTGGTGGAAAAGAAGAAAGTAATCATAAAATAATGATTATGTTCAAGCATATTTGTAAAGACTAAAAAATGTGAAGATGTAAACTTAATGAAAGTAAGTCAAGATGGTTTCTCAGCTGGGTGCCATGGCACATGCCTGTGATCCCAGCTACTTGGGAGACTGAGGCAGAAGGATCACAAGTTTGAGACCAGCTTGGGCAATTTAGTAAGACCTGTCTCAACATAAAAATTAAAAGAACTGAGGATATAGCTCAGTGGACTTCAAGCCAAGACTGATTAGGTAAGAGAGAGAGAGAGAGAGAGAGAGAGAGAGAGAGAGAGAGAAAAGGTCACTACACCCTTGCAAAAGGGAACATTCCAAGAGGAGATAATCCTAAATACATATGCACCAAACACCAGCACAACCAACTCTATAAAACAAATATTAACTGACATGAAAAATCAAATAACCACTAATACAATTGTAATGTGGGACCTCAATACCCCACAATTAGACAGATCAACTAGACAAAAAATTAACAAAGAAATATCAAAACTGAACCAAACTTCTGAACAAATGGATTTAGTAGATGTCTAGAGTACTTCACTCCAGAGCACACATTCTGCTCACCTGCACATGGGACATTCTCCAAAATAGTCCACATACTAGCTCTTAGAATATGCTTAACTAAATGTAAAGAATTGAAATTATCACATGCATATTGTCAGACCAAAGTGCAATGAAATTGGAAATCAGTGGCAAAAGAAGCTACAAGAATTTCATAAACACATGGAAATTAATTTAAAAATCTCTTGAACAACCAACCATTCACAGATGAAATTAAAGAAGAAATTAGACAATTTCTACAATTAAACAATAATGTCAATATAACATATCAGAATTTATGGAGTGCAATGAAATCACTCCTGTGAGGGAAATTTCCATATCAGAAAAACAGAGAAAGCTCAAAAAACAACCTAATGTTGAACCTCAAGCTTCTAGAAAAAGAAGAGCAAGTCAAGCTCAAAGCTCATATGAGGAAGGAAATTATAATGATTAAATAAAAAAGTAATGTAGTGGAGACTAAGAAAACATTACAAAGAATCAATTAATCAAAGAGCTGATTCTTTGAAAGATTAAATAAAATTGACAAGCCCTTAGCCAATCTTATCAAAAAAAGAAAAAAAAAAAAGACTCGAATCCATGCAATTAGGAATGAAAAGGGTAACATAAATATACAGAAGATCAGCAGGACCTATCTCAAGAAACTATTCTAATAAGATGGAAAATGCAGAAGAAATGGACAGATTCCTAGATACATATGAATTCCATATGAATCAAGACATAAAAATTCTAAATAAACCAATATCAGTCAATGAAATTCAAGATGTAATTAAAAACTTAACTGGTTCTGCCACCTGCCTCAAAAGTGCAAGGTACTGAGTTAAATCCCCAGTACCAAAACAACAACAACGACAAAGCCTATTAACAAAAAAACTACCAAATGGATTCACTGTTGAATTCTACAAGAAATTTAGAGAAGACCTAATGCTACTATTTCTCAAACTCTTTAATGAAATTGAAAGGGAAACAATGCTCTCAAATTCATTCCTGGAAGTAAGCATTACCATGATTCCAAAACCAGAGAAGGATCTAATCAAAAAAGAGAATTGTAGGCCAATCTCCCTAATGAACATAGAGGCGAAAATCCTCAATAAGTTACTGCCAAACAAAATGCAGCAAATCATCAAGAAGATTGTACATCATGACGAAATAGCATTCATCCCAGGGATGCAAATCAATAAATGTAATTCAATAAATGTAATGCACTATGTTAACAGAGACAAGGCAAAGACCTCATAAACAAAACCCCAATCACACAGGAAATATCACAATCAGAATCTGGGATCTCATCTTATTAAAAAGCTTCTGCACCACAAAAGAAACCACCAACAGAGCGAAAAGACAAACCACAGTATGGGAAAAAAATTTTCAGCATAGGTTCAGCTATTTCTCAGATAAAGGATTAATACCTAGAATATATAAAGAACTCAGAAAAATTGGACCCCCCAATTTGAAGACTCAATTCAAAAATAGGCATCTGAAATGAATAGACACTTCTCAGATGAAGAAGTAGAAACAGCAAATAAATATATGAAAAAATGTTGAACATCACTGATAATTTGAAAGATACAAATTAAAACAATCCTGAGATTCCATCTAACTCCAGAAAGAATGGCTGTTACCAAGAAACGAACCAGTAACAAATGCTGGTGGGGCTGTGGGGAAAAAGGAACCCTTCTTGACTGTTGGTAGGTGTGTAGACTGGTGCAACTGCAGTGGAAATCAGCGTGGAGATTTCTCAAAGAAATAAAACTGGAGGTTCCTTTGTTCCTTTTTTTTTGGTACTATAGATCAAACTTGGGACCTTGTACTTACAAGGCAGGCACTGGAGGTTCCATTTGACTCAGCTATTCCCCCTCTTGGTATCTTTCCAAAAAATTTAAAAGTATCATACCACATATATGCTCACCTGTGTTTATAGTGGCACATTTTGTAATAGCTAAATCTTGGAAACAGACCAAATTCCCATTAACTGACAAATGGATAAAGATGTGTGGGTTTTTAAAAAATACAACGGAGTAGTATTCTGCCATAAAGAAGGACAAGTTTCAGATATTTATACTTAAATGGATGCACTTTGAGGATGCCATGGCCTGCATAGCTGAAGGGTCCACTGAGTGAGAAATGATGGTGGGAGATTAAAAAAAACAAAGACAAAAGGTGGAGCCAGGTGGGGTTCTTCCTCCTGATGGGAGAAAAAGACCACCAGGCAACTGCAGTGCATTTTTTTATAGTGGTAGAGATAAGGGAAGTGCAGCAGAAGGTGAAAAGGGCTGGTCTGTAACTGGAGCTGGGAGAAGAGCTAAGGTCTGCAGGACATCATGCTTGATGGCTTTAGAGCAAATGGGGGTGGGGAGCCAGTCCTCTCCTCGGCCAGGCCTGGCTCCACCACACCCTGTTATCACCTGTTCTCCTCTAGAGGGGCCCGGCCTCATCCACAGGAGGAGTTGAGTTCATCCTGGCCAGAGTGATCTACAGCACAGCACTCCCTGCATAAGGGACAAGAAAAGAGAGAGAAAACTGAAGGGAAAAAATGGAAACAAAGCTTTTGCACTTAAGGGAGGGGAGAGGAATGGGAAAAGAAAAGAAGCAAGATATATCATGGGTTGGTACAAATTCTCTATGATGAATGTTATCATTATGTATGTCTAAAATATACCAAGAAATGTTTTTCTTTTTTATTAATAAATTTTATTTTATTTTATCCCGTTCTCCCCTCAATCCCCCTCCCATCCCTGTATACAAAAACTTTGTTTCTATTTTTTCCTTCTGTTTTCACTTTTTTGTGGTCCCTTCCTTTTCTCCCCGTCCGCCTGTGTTCCCCTTCCCATCTGAACACTTTCTTCTCATTTCCCAACATCCATTATACATCTCAGTCCTTATTTTCACATTCAGTTTCTCACACCAGAGAAATAATTTGATATTGAAACACATGTCTGATTTATTTCACTTAAAAGTATGGTCTAAAAGCCCATCCATTTAGCTAAAAATGTCTGAAGCTCATCCTTCCATGTGGCAGTTATACTCCATTGTATATATTTAAAAAAAAACACATATCTTCTCTATCCACTCATCAGTTCATGGGCATTTGAGCTGTTTCCAAGATTTAGACACTACAAACTGTGCTGCTATAAACATGGATGTGCTTATCTTGCTGTGGTAGGATGCTTTAAATTCTTTTGAGAAGATACCAAGAAGAGGTATATCTGGGTCAAGTGGAATCTCTAGTTTTAGTTTTTTGAGAAATCTCCACACTGATTTCCACTGCAGTTGCACCAGTCCACACACCCACCAACAGTGGAAAAGGATTTCTTTTTCCCCACAGCCCCTCGAGCATTTGTTATTGGCTGATTTCTTGATAGCAGCCATTCCTTCTGGAGATGGAATCTCAGCATTGTTTTAATTTGTACCTCTCAAATGACCAGTGATGTTGAACAATTTTTCTTATATTTATTTGCCATCTCTAATTCTTCATTTGAGAAGTGTCTTTTCATTTCACATGCCCATTTTTGCACTGGGTCTTTAAATTTCAGGGGGGGTCTGATTTTTTTTGAGTTATTTATATATTCTGTA